AAGAAACTGCTTTGAATTCAGAAGGTTAATATGGATTTCCATAAATTAAAACAACAAAATCCTTGTTATTTACTCTCAACCTGCAAAACAAAGCAAACACATGCACAGATGGGCGTTGCGAGGCTGCAGCACGACTCTGACCTGTCCCTCTGTCTCTCTGTCTTGCAGGAGTCCCATGTCTGGCTCTCTCTGCGGGTGGGAGGGACTGCCTTCGCGCCGGAGACACCTGCTCCAGCGACGACACCTGCAGCCCGCGACTGCGCACCCTCAGGCAGTGCGTGGCCGGGGACGGCAGCGTGAAGCTGGGGCCCGGGGCGCGGAACCAGTGCGAGAACGCCATGACGGCCCTGCTGTCCACCCCGCTGCACGGCTGCCAATGTAAACGAGGCATGAAGAAGGAGAAGAACTGCCTGAGCATCTACTGGAGCCTGCACCAGTCCGTGCTGCACGGTAAGAGCGCTGCCGAGAGGTGGGCGGCTTGCAGGTACAGTGTGTTATTGGGATTATCCAGCGTGTGCCGCCCATTACACACGAATTAGCCGCCCGCCTCCAGACAGCTCAACAGTAGATTCCAGCCTCAAAATGAAAAGAGTGATTATTGTGTCAAAAATAGTTAAAAGTGAAGCCCTGATGCCTTTTGTTCCACCCACACTCATTGTATTTTTATCACTTTTGTGCTTACTTCAGATGCCTTACGCTGTCATTGTCATTTCCTACACCGAACCCCGTTATTTGTCACACTTTTACATTCACATCTGGCACATTTGCCGCTCAAAACAACCGGAGCGCGGCCGACAACGCCGCGAATATCCTGGAAGTCAAGTGCGGATCTAAAGGAATTGACACGGAGATAACGCACAGATAAAACACGCAGTATAGTTCAAGCTCGTTCCTTCCGGAGTGGAGCGTGCAGCAGATATTAGTGAGGCAGAACACATGCACCGTCTAGACGCAACAACAGGCATTCTTTATTAAAAAATAGTGCTGCAATGTATTGGAAGGGGAAAAAAAACCCTGACATTGTGATATTTTGTTCTTTTGTGACATATACTGCGAAATGAAGAATTATTTTTTTTTTCACCAGCAATTTTCAGCAGATGGCTCGAATAACTCTGTCTGGAAAGAATTAATCTCTGCAGAATGATTGGAGTAATTTTGTAGAGGAGTGCATCTGCATGGAAAATAAAAAGTCATTTGAAAAAAATAAAAAGCAGGAATAACCTTTCTCATATGGTGCAACACTGACGAAGGCTTTGGACGCCATTCAGATCCGTGTTCCTGCTCACCATATGGACTTCTGTTAAATAGTCAAACAAATTAGTCCACAGAGTTTGTTTTTTTTTTTTTTTGTCCTTTCTGTGTCTTTAGATTTGTTTCTTTTTGCAGAAGAATCTTAATTTTTAGTCTTTTTTCAATGCATTTGTGGAGCCTGCATGTCCATTTTGCAAATGTAGTTTTTAAAAAG